GGTTGCCTCCATAAACTTTCCTTCTTCTGCTAACTGTATTGACCTGGGCTCCACAAACTGTCTTTTGTTTATTAGGTTTGAGCTATCATTAATATAATGATGAGTAGCTCCTGAATCGGCATACCATTCTATTTTATTGGATGTTGACAAATACTCACTCGAAACACAGAATGCAACAGATTGCGATGATGTCTGAATATCACTGCTTTGATTATTACATAAGTCTTCAGCTAAATTTGCCCTATTGTCAACCTGATTTTGTCTGTTTTTATTCAGATAGCAGTTTTTCGATTTGTGACCCATTTTGTTACATGTATGACATTTTATACCACAAACATTCTTTAAATGGCCCATCTTGCCACATTTAAAGCATTTAACGCCTTTTTGAGTCACACTAAATGATGAAGGTATAACCTTAGTTACATGTTTATTTTTATTTGAGCTGAATTCCAATAGCCTACTCTTTACAAATTCAACCTTCAGGTCTGCTTCGGATAAGGTTTGTATAGCTGTGACTATCCCTCAAAATCATGTGGCATGGATAGTAACAAAAAACATGCGATATCTGACTCTTCAAAATAGCTCCCCAGGCTTTTAAGCTCTCGAAAAATACGATCACACTTTGTAAAATGTTCTTGTAAGTCAGTACCATAGATATATTTTAAATTTATTAGTTCCTTCAGTAAATAAAATTTAGAGCACATACCTATTTTGCTAAAAATGGCTTCAAATTTTCTTATCATTTCAAGGGCAATTTCTATTTCTTTTACATATTCTAAGTGGGAGTCTGCCACACTTTGTATTATCACCATACAGGCTTTATTATTTTTCTTATTCCAATCATCATCTTGGGCACTAGTCGGTACATCTTGTAAGACTGCACCTAAATCCATTGCTTTCAAAACAGAGTACAGACGAAATTTCCAATTATCAAACCCATTACCATTAAATGGAATAATTCCATGTCGATTTTCCATACTTATTAACTTTATTTTTTGATTTTTCATACACCACGCCTACCGGCAGAACTTAATTTTCAGAAACTTAACCTCACAAGCTACACACTGAAAATAAACTTTTTAACACATTACTCTTTCTGGGCCCATAACCAATGTTAGGTTCTTCAAATAATATTTGGAAATGTGTTAAAATACTTTATTTTATATTAGGCGTAATCTCAAAGACATGTTACAATTTACAATTATATAAGAAAAAAAAAAAACATGACCATGACTTGACTTATCTAATGACAATTAAATGACATGACAACCTTCTGTCATTCATGCCAACAGAACATTTCAAAGGTTTGCTCCTGAATTCCGTGTATTCTAACAAGAAATACTACACACCAGTCACGAAATACTTAGCTCGCAACGGGAGGTGCTAATAGTTTGGATCAAAGGGCATTTGGGTATTCAAGGAAACGAAATTGCTGATAAGTTTGCAAAATCCACCTCAGACTTACACAGAGACTCTATTAACCAGTGTATTCCATATACAGATTTGAATTCCACACTTAAAGTTTAACTTAAGGCTAAATGGCAAGAACTATATGACAGCAAACAAATAGGATTTAATTATAAATCATGTCAAGTCCAAATCCCAATAATAAGATGGTTCTACAACGAAAACAACAGGAACTTTATTATTACTTTAAACAGAATAAGAGCAAATCATGCAATGTCACCAAGCTATAAATGTAAAATTGGTTTAATTGATGATTCCTCATGTTTATGTGGGGAACTTGGAGACTTAACACATATTCTACTTGGTTGTTCATTAAATAGTCAAAGCACAGATAAATTTTATAATGAAGTTATTAATAACAAAATTTGCTTACCTATAAATTTAAATTGTATAATTTTAAATAAGAATATTAATATATTGTACTGCTTATATAATCACACCAAACGGTGCAAAATGAAATTGTAAATTACTAACCACCTCTTTGTTAGCAATCCTGCAACTAGTTAGATTTTGTAAGTGGGCGGCGAAAAAATTTAAAAAAAAAAGTGCATATAAGCACTACTAATACTTTAAGCATTGTTGTTGTGAAGAAGGATGAGTATTCTTTTAAAGTTTTCTTTTTTAAATTATTATAGTTAAAAAAAATCGTCTGGCTAATTGGTCTTTACCAAAGCCATCTAATTAAGTAAAAAAAAAGACTGGAAGTATGGATAGGAAGTAAAACAACATAGATTAACATCAAATCCAACTCCTGTTTACAAAATAAAAGACACTTCCCCTACCGTTACTATACCTAATATAACCATAAAAACAGAAAAGTCTCTCGAAATAATAATTGATAATAAATTTAACTTCAATACCCAAATTATAAAAAAAAATATTACATATTTTAAGCCTTTCAGAGGGTTGGCATACAGAATAGGACATTGATATTAAAACAGCTGCAAACAAATTACTCTGAAAAACATAGGGATTTCTGACAAAAGTAGTCTGAGAACAATAACTAAAATGAGAAACCCCAACAACCCACTTCATAATCGCTACTATTCTGCTATATAAAAAGTCTAGAGAGGAATCTTGGAGTGTATGCAATAAATTTCCCAAAAATTTTTGGAAAATGTACATAATAATGAATATCTTTAATCAAAATATATGTCGTAAATTGTACTTATACATAGGTATAAAGTAAATGACAATAAATTGTAATTATGGGTCGAAAAGTATTTACAATAACACTGAGACAATATGTTTACAAAGAAAAAAATTAGGGCCCATTGAGAGGAAAATAATAAGAATAATCAAAAGCCCAATATATTTATTAACAACTCTAGTATTTCCTATAGTCATTTATGATATTTTTAAAACATTTGAAAATTTTCTTGAAGCATTGCCTTAAACTACCAATAGTTTTCCATTTCCCAGCCAACTCTCCAGCACACCACTAAAACTGAGTCACTATATCTATCACTATTTCATTGTGGTATGAGATATCCAAAAAAAATATTTAGAAAAAATGTAGGCAATGATATTCTCCATACTTGGAAAATATGTGGAATTAATTTGACAGGGTAATTAAAAACTATGTGGTATAGCAAACATACATTTTTTTAAATGGGACACCCTAAGTATATACTTTTTTATATCTATATTTCTCTCATAATTCTTGTTCTTATAATATTGAACTTTGCATTACTATACAGAGTATTAAAAGGGTTATTACCATTTTTATTTCGAAATTCCTATAAAATCAAAACCATGTATATGAAGAAGTAATGGATAAATAATTATTTATTTTATATAATAAGTTAAACAGTAGTAGTTTTTAAAATAAGTTTAATTGAAATCATTGACTAAAATTTGTATACAGGGTGAAATACAAAACAAATTACGATTTTCTCAATTTTTTTAAGCTGATCACCTTGTATTTCATTTTTTAAAAATATTGTAATTTTAATACTCTTTCATTGTTATATAGCATTCCCTATACCTAAACTCATTATTTTCCAAGATATTTTTAGTTTTCTTCAAATTTCAGGGAATATATTCAATTTTTGTAAGCAGAAATAAGTGATAATATAACAAAATTATTTTTATTCAATAAGTAACTAACAAAAAATTTAAACCATAATAATATGTAATGAATGTAACAATTAATGTGATATTAAGGGAAAGTAAATGTTTAAAATGTCCACCTTCTATGTCTATACAAGTGTGTAACTGATATTTAAATAACAGAGAAAAATTTCTTAACATTTGTAAGTCAATTTTATTAAAAGCTTCTCTTATTCTATTTTTCATATTATCTAGCGTTGTTGGAGGCTTCTCAGGAAAGTGATTTCATTTTCAAAGATGAAATAGAGATGATTGTCTGTTTAGCTCTATTAAAAGCTGTTCTTGCTATTTTTCTAAGGTGTTTCAATTCAGTGCACCACCAAGAGTCGGTTTTGTGACCATTCTAGTTTAAAAGCGAAGAAAAGCACTAATATCTCAATTATGGTGCCCACAAACTGGTACCAAAACTGTCACTCTGAACATCAGAGAGCCTTTTAGATTCATGGACTTAAGTAGATTAAAAAGCCATAGACATACATATTAACACATCTATGATTAGAGCTGACATATCATTGATCATTGCCAATTAACCCCCCAATAAATCTATTGTCATTATTTGGTTTAAGGTTTATCCCTGTCAAGTTCCATGGGTTCTATAATTCCCTTGATACAAGTCAGTCTGTACCAGCAATTCAAAACCCATATCATGTAATTAATTTCCAGTTTTAATAGTTTTACCTTCACTGCAGACTTATCAAACTCCACCAATTGGAAAAAAGTTACTAAATGTCATATCAAGCCAATAATCTGATTTTGGCAAAAAGTCAGACATATCAAGTTTTGCCATACCACTACAGATGTAAAATCAATTGTTATGAGTTATTTATTCTCATTTAGAATTAAATAAAAATTTTGATTATAATTTATTTTTCTGTGACACTATTAATTATTGTGTGTACCTAGTGTATGAAAAGAATTAGATCCAGAATTGAAAAAAGTAATGCTATCAATCCTATTTGAAATTTTTGACATAAGTAGTAGTATGAACAAGACTTGGTTGATACAGTACAGGGTTGATTTTACATAGAAATGTGTATTCTAAAAACCAAAACCACAATTGAAGTGTTTCATTTTATTAATTATTTCTCTGTGTTAAAAATTATTAAAATAATATTACATATCTAGGCAACACAATATACATTGTGCGGTGTTTCAAAATAATTGTCAACAAAAGTACATAATATTGGTTTTAATAAAAATAAAACTAAAACCCAGATACTAAGGTGTGTATACAAAAATTGAAACCATATTGAATTTAAAGAACAAGTAGTAATTATAAATATCCCATCTTTTCGATAGGGGTGTATTACTTTTTGAATAGAAAAATCTGATGACTTTTTATAGCAGAATGAATGAATAAGAAGGGTTCAATCACAGCAGAGATTTGTAATCGATAAAAAATAGGTCAAATTTATACTCACCTTCCTTCTTTCTTCTCAGAACCAACAAGTGCATTGCTGTCCTCTGTAGGTGTTGGAACTTTTTCCTCTTGATCACCCTTAACACTGCCCATCCATGAGGAGACTTGACTAGTGAGTCCAGTAAACATTTTTGTTGATATGAGGAATCAATAAAAGTAGGAACTAGGCGACTAATTTGTTATTAAAAGTCACTGTCAGATGCTGTCGTTTATGTGACGCACATCAATGACATATTACATGTAAAAACTAACAACGATTACTTTGATTTTATGAAAATCTCACAGACCTACTAGACCACGAACTTTACAAGCCACCTTGCGCTTTAAACTTGCGCATGCAATTTTCGATTTGAGTGGAATGAAAATGGGAAATGGCCAGCCAATGGAAAGTCGGAAAATTTTATAGAACCAATGCGCCCTTGCATTTTCTGAAAACGGCGCAGTACGTCACCGCTTGATCCATTTTCTGTCAAGGTCGACCCAAACGACAAATTTTGTAACTTAATTAATATGTAATTACAAATAAGTTTGATTCGCAAACGCAAACTTCTAAAAACCTTTCTCAGCAGTGTTCATGAAAAACACCCATTTACCAAAGAATCATAAATTAAAGGGCATTACATGGAACTCCAATACAAAATAATCCAATTACATGTTTCCTAAGATAGGTCAATGTAGTATATATAAAGAAGAAACTAGCATTTTTTATATAACACTTTCTACTTTGGATTATTTAAATGAAACAACAAAATTGTTGGCATGGCAACATAATAAAAACAAATATGTTAGGTATATAACACAGATACGGACTAGTACACTTTGTTAAAAATGGAGTGTTTATTAATACAATTGGCGCCTATTTCCTGCCCTCCCAAATAGATGGCGCTACTTACAACACGATTCTGATGTTATGTGAAAATTGTACCTAAGAATCGGTATGAGTGTGTGTAATTTGTAACTTCAAACATGTTGTCTCCGAGACGAAAGGAATTGTTTCTGCTGACTTCTACAACAACGGGAACTGGAAGATTGGATATGCCAATTTGGCATATAAATATAGACTCTGTTGACTGCCGCTCTAAAAAGTTCTGCACTTGCACTACTGCACTCAAACCATTCCCTTGCCAATCAGCTTTTATTGAATCTTATAATCCAAGATTCCAACCAGTGATGCCACTACTCACGATTTATCGTGAGATCTCACGAATTAAAGACAAATCTTACGATTTTTAAAATTTTTAGGCTGTTACTAAATCTAAAGATAAATAATGGGTACCTTAATAAAATTTACACGAGAAAATCAGCATTTTTAAAGTGCTCTTAGATTATCATCTTGAAATATTCATAAATCAACTATTATTTTAATCAAATATGCTTGCACTACTCCAATTAGTATAAACAAAGCTTAAAAGGTTCTTTATTGCTTTGAAAGTGTAAATGTCGGTCCATAAACAACTGAATTTTATGTATATTTTATCAATAAATACCAAGAATGACCGGAATTTTGTATTAAAGGATCAACAGACCAAAATGATTAAGTGTGTGTTCGAGATATGAAACAAATCAGCAATTGCATATAACAATAACTTTATATTTTTATCTTCAAAAACTTTGAAATCCTACAAGTACCGATAAAATGTTAAATCCTCAGAAAACAAAATTAGGTTTATGTATACCTATATATATATATATATATATTATATATATATATATATATATATATATATATATATATATATATATATACAGTGTAGGAAAAAGTTTATGGTCGGTATGGACCTTACGTGCATGCATGCCTGAAAAGGGGAAGTTCAACGTTGCCAAAATTATTGGATTTATTTGACCTGTTGTTTTTTTTTGCATTTGAACAATGTTCTAAGATAATCCAATTTGGGCGAAATTGATTTAAATAGCAGCTTACTGTTTTTTTTTATTGGAAATATGCCACAAGTTTACTTTACAATAAGTGTAATATAACATTTTGATTTCCACTTCGGAAATCGTTTTATATAAATAAAATTTATTAATGTTTCGTATTTTAAGTATGATTTCCGAATTAAAAATCTAAACATCAAAATAAGCTTATTTTAAAGTCACATTGTGCCTTATTCTCATAAATTCTCATGAAATAATAAACTGCATACAATAACGCCACATTAAAAAATATTCATACACAATAATTATTTGGCAACGTCGGTCTGGTCTGGTTTGGCCGACCGAGTAACGAGTAGTAGAGGTGGGTCGTGGTAGTTTTATCGTTAAGAGCATAGGCACAAAATTTCGTTCCAATATTTTTTAAATGCATTAATTTTTTGCGAATCCTGAGAAAACTAATAAATATTTTTGAAAAATTTAAACGCAGAATGAAACAATACCTTATTACCGAGGGCCGAAAGTCCCTGAAAACTTCTATAATGTTTATTTTAATAAGTTATAGGGGTGAAAAAAAAATTTGTGTGATTTTTAATTTCAAATATCTCATTCAAAAACCTTTTTGTTTATTCTAAGGGACTTTCGGCCCTCGGTAATAATGTAATCTTTTATTCTGCATTTAAATTTTTCAAAAATATTTGTTAGTTTTCTCAGGATTCCAAAAAAAATGAATGCATTTAAAAATTTAAATTTTTGTAAATAAGTAACTATGATTGTTTAAAAGTAGTTTTAAGTAAGAGAGTACCTACATAAATAAACATAATGGCTATTATCGTTTATGTGTATATTTATTGAAGTGAAAGAAACTAATGATTAATTTATTATAACTTGAAAAATAAACTAAACAATACAAATAGTAACTCGTACTTACATTACACATTATTATTAAATCGCGAATAGTCTAAATTGACATTCAAAAACATAAGTTTTTCAACTTTACTTCTTATTAACCGTCTTCTTTTTTTATTTCAAATTAAACCAGATTTTGAACATGTGTTCACATTTACAATACTAATAGTGGTTAAGTTAGGATATACATGGCGATGGTTTTTCCATCGTTGTAATGGACTCTCGATTCAGGTGTACGTGTAGATGAGCCATCTCCAATTAATTGATCAAAAATACACCATGGATTTAAGTCATCTTTATTGGTTTCTTTTTCTTGTACTGGTTGATTTTCAATAGTACAATCTTCTTGTTCGTTAATTACAGAAGTAACCAGCTTCTTAACTTTTTCTTTAATTTTTTTTATCTTTATTTTTATCAGAGAAACCCTGCACTTTAAATAGTGAATCCATAAATGTACATAATAACAATGTGCCACTCTGTTCTATCCCTTTAAATCTTTTTGCTAAACCCGATATTAGTAATTGTACTACGTCGGATACTATGGATGTAAGGTTTGCTAAACCTTATTGCTAAATTTACCGTTTGCTAAAATTTTATTGCAAGATTCTTATAGGCAGCGTACCATAACAATCACTGAACTACCCTTCAAGTATTTTTGGTCACTCATTGTACTTGTTATTTCTTTAAACGGTCGTAAAATGTGGGAAAGCTGAGAACAAATAATCCAGTGTTATTTATTTAGATTTGGTCTAAGTCTAAGTCTGTATTATTTAATACCGATGTGGAACGGATTGCCTCTTCTAACTCGGTCATTTTTTTAACATGTAGTAGGTGAAGCTCTACCTAGTTTCCACGTCTTGGATTGGCCGTTTCGGAACTTTGTTATGTTGTAATTAATATTTTAAAAGCCTATCTGAAGATAAGGTACTTTTTTTAAATGTGTTTTTTGCAGAATTGTCGAAAATAGGACTTTTATTTTATCTATTATCAAATCAGTTTTGACATAACATTCCTGAAGTAATGAACCTGACAGTTTTTCTTGTTGGCAGTTTATATCCAGGAATCCACCCTGCAAACTTTTTAAAAGCTGGTTCTTCACCTATGGAAAACGGATGAAACGAATCTTTGCATAAGTTTAGTAAATCTTGAAAATCAACCAGTACAAGAAAAAGAAACTGATAAAGATGACTTAAGTCCATGGTGACCATGGTGTATTTTTGATGAATTAATTGGACGTGACTCATCTAAACATACACCTGTATCGAGAGATATAAAAGAAGTCGACATGTATTTGTCTGATGATATATTACCCACAAAAAATTTCGAACGAAGATTGGAACTGTCCATTACCGTGGTGGAAAAACCATCGTCATGTATATCCTAACTTAACCACATTTACCAAAATATTGTAGTATTGTAACAAAATCTTTTCCTTGTGAACACATGTTTAAAATCTGGTTTAATTTTAAATAAAAGAAGAACACAGTTAACAAGAAAAGTGGAAAAACTTGTTTTTAAATGTCAATTTAAACCTCTTAAAACAAGTAGGTTTTTGGTGGTGCGACACATACAAAATGCACTGGAAACCAGTACAAAAGAAGAAACCTAAACAACAATCCGAGGAAGATTAGAGAAATCAGCAATGAACTGAAAACTCTAAATCGGTATGAAAATTATTTGTAACTTCAAACGTGTTGTCTCCGAAACAATAGGATTAGTTCCTAATAGTTAGTTGAGTGTATCGTAAGTTCCTAACATCAACAACAAAACGGGAACTGAAAGAGTATGTGTTTAAATTTGTAAGAACCATACAAAATGCACTGGAAACCAGTACAAAGATTCAGAGGAATCAGAAATGAACTGAAAACTCTAATAAGAGAGAAAAACAGACAACGAAGAAGGGCAAACAGGACTAGGAATATAGAGGACAAAATAATTGCTAATGAACTGAATAGGGAGGTTAAAAAACTGCTGGAAATCCACAGAAATAACAGCCGGGACGACTTCATCCAGCAGCTGGACCCTAACAAATCTGGTTTCTGGAAGCTTTTTAAAGTTTTGCGTAAGGATAAAAAGCCAATACCCACGTTACACGGGACAAACGGCCTAGTTTATTCTGAACAAGACAAAGCGGAGGTCATGAAAGACACACTAGAAAGAGGATGCAGAAATTACCACCATGCATATGAAGATCCAGACTTTGAAGACGAAGTGGAAAGACGGAGCAGATACCTAAAGAGAAGTAGAGGCGCCATAGCACTCAGACATACCACCCCTGAAGAAATCCAACTGCTCATCAAAGTGACCAACGCTAAGAAAGCTCCAGCCTGTGGCAGGAGTACCACAGGAGCCGTGCTGTCGCCTTATCTGTATAACAGTTCATAGCCTCCTCTGAGTATGTCAGACGTAGAGGAGGGGTAGAGGAAAAATCTGGGGGTCAGATAGGTACCGAGCCAAACTGACTTGCTCTTTTGGAACGAAACCGGTCTGATTTTCGGACATGGGGGTTCCACTGACTAGCAGTGGTACACTCATGTCCCAAAGGGGTTGGGATGAACTCATGTGTGTGTTATTTGCAACTCACCCTAAGAATCGGCATGAAAGTTATTTGCAACTCACACAGGGACAGGACATTGACTTCATAGAAGAAGTACTTACGACAAAGAGAAAGACCCGACAACCCGGAAAAAACGAAATCATTCCTCCTACATCACCGGAGGAGCTAAATAAGCTAATCAAAAACAGCTCGCCGAAAAAGCACCTGGTTCCGATCACATAACGAACAGGGCCCTAAAATACTTACCAGCGAGAGCGTATATCTAACAAATATAATTAACGCGATGCTAACCTTCAATAAATTCCCAAACAGATGGAAAGAGGCCCCTGTCAAAATGTTACCAAAGCCCGGAAAAGACAGCACATTGCCGCAAAACTGCAGGCCAATAAGCTTACTTCCTACCTGCAATCAGCAAGATTGTGTGGCGCACCCAGGGGGGCTTTTGGAAGTTAAACCCCACCTTCCCAGGGCATATAAAGTAAAAAATATATAAAGAATAGTAGGAAAATGTAACTTGTCTTTCACACACAATACAAAAAATCAAAAACGCCAATTTAATAATTAAATTACCACTTTAAATATGTGGAATACAATAATTATTGTATAAATACACAATAACTAATACACAATAATTAATAATATTTTTCATTATATTTAGATATAGATACCTAAGTAGATAGAACGAATCTGTTGCGAGTAGCATGAGCCTACAGGTCTGTATCTGCGGCGGCCTTGTGGACTATCACGGGTTGTGTTCCTCCGCATGTGTTAGCAGTAGAAAAGAGACAGCTATATGAGAAAAGAGAGCATTTTGACAACAGCTATAAAAAAAAAGAAAGGGAAAGATCAATGGAAAGATGGCCAGAAGAGTGGAACAACAAGGAAGATGTTTGCTCAGTGGATCAAGATGCTGATACCGAGCCTAAGGGACTGGGTAGATTGTCTGTTTTAGGGCGTATCTTCATAGTTTCAGAAAGACAGATACAGATAAATGTCTATACTGCGAATATTTCGACATTGTTACTCACCCAATGCTAGAACTCAACCCCAGAATGTATAAAGAAATAGGTATGAACCGTAAAAGAGATGATCGTGAAGATGACGGGAAGTACGGAGGGATGGAATAGTGTTCACAATTACATCTGAGCAGTCATTAAAAAGAAAGAGAAAGAAGAGAAACACCAACCGGAGCAACGACAGAGATAAGGTCTAATTACTATTTTATTGAGAATAAGCCACAATTGCAGGTTAAAATAAGTTTTAGAAATTAAACACCGAATTAATCAGAGACATAAAATTCTAGAATGTCTAAACTCCTTATGGTGGGATCGCAACATTTCCAAAAGGAACACAAAAAGAATAGGGCAAACCATGGTTGAATCAGTTCTTTGTTATGGCTCTGAAGTATAAATAATTAATGCAGACCTGAAGAGAACATTGTTGTCAGTTGAAATGGTTTATTTGAGAAGAAGTGCTAGAACGTCAAGGCTGGAAAGGAAGACCAAGGAATCTATAAAAAAGAAAATAAATGCTACAGAAACGGTCATTGACAGAATAGAAAGAAGAGGTTTAAAATGGTTTGGAAACCTATTGAGAATGCCTGACGAACTTTGGCCCAAAAAACTTCACAGATGGACGCCTGTTGGAAGAAGAAAAAGAGGTAGACCTCGACGCTCATGGAATGAAGGAATTGGAAAAGCGATGGAGTCGAGAGATTTGGAGGAGGTGAATGCCTTGGGCCAGGGAGAATTGGCAGATGAGAATGAGAATACGGCGATACCCGTCTCCAAAATGTATTGTATTTACAAGTTTGATCCTGTAATATATATCTTTGGCAGTGCTATCTTTAGTACTTTAAATTAAACTAAAACCCAAATGTTAGGGACTCAAAATGAAGGTAGCATAAAAAAATATCGAACCCCCCAAAGGCAAATTCTGCGATTCTGCGAAAAAATGAACTGACTTTCCCACAGCACATGATATACGCGTAAAATAATTTTTGAATCAACGTTTTCCAGGGCGTTGGATTGTCAAAAGGGGTCCAATAGAGTGGCCGGAAAGATCACCGGATCTTTTGACTTTGGATTTTTTTTTTGTAGGGTTACCTAAAATCAAAAATATACGCCACTCCGCCTACGGATCTCGCAAAGAATTGTGACATAATGCCGATTATTAACACCGGAGGTATTCGCAAATGTACGAAGAAGCTAAAAATAGACTATATTGTTGTATGGAGGTCACAGAAGATCATTTCGAATATTTAATTGGTTAATTTGATGAAATTTTATGTTTTTTGTTATTACTGAACATTACTATTGAAAAAAAAATACTTTCAATGACGTGCCACTAGACCACACTTGCTATTTAAAAAAAACTTGTGGTTGATGCTGGGCAGTAGAGAGTTACATTTATGTTCATGAAATTTGCATGACAATTTGTCCCCTCCCCCCCCCCAATACAAATAGACATGTTTTTTAAATTTTGAAGAAACTCTTGGTTTCTGAGTTTCTGGGGGGTCAAATTTTGGGGGTTGGAACATACACAATATAAGGTAAGTGCGCCAAATATTGCCATGCTCCTAATAGTGGCACTCCCCATAAATTTATTAATTTGTACCTTGAAACACAGATGGTCATGTAAGCTCAAATATCGAATTAAATCGACCACTCTAAAAACGTTATAGGTGAAACCAGTTAGTATTGGTGTTTACGGCAAAGCAGCGTGTATTTCGTGCGATTTATTTATAAAAACATGGGAAAACTGTAATGATTGTTATAAGCTAGCTAATACCGACTATAGAAGGGTGAGAACATTCAAGTACTTTATTAATCCATATTGTGTGTAATTAATATTAAAGAGAATAAAACATAAATCGCCATTTTTGTTCCGCAGTAGTAACGATCCTAATATTGCCGCATGAGATAGTTCCTAATATTGCCATGGCAATATTTGGAACCTAACACGAAAATTTACTTTTTATTCATAAAAACTTTCTTTTTAACAGAATGCCGAATATAAAGGGAGCCCTGTGGTCTGAGGCGAATCTCGTTTCAGCGTTAGAAGCAATAAGAGCTGGAAGCAGTATAAGCCAAGCTTCATTACGATATGCAATACCTCGAACAACACTTGGACTACATTATCGCAGCCAAAATTCGGTTAAACGACTTGGAAGGAAAAGTGTTTTAAGTTTTGAACAAGAAAGAGATCTAGTTCGCAGAATTCATAAACTAGCAGAGGTGGGCATGCCAATAACTAGTAAAATAGTAAGAAGAGGTGTATTTTCGTATGCGATGATAATGAACATTCCTAATCCTTTTTCTGATACATCTAAATTAGCAGGAAGAAAATGGATGAAATTATTCTTTGCAAGACTCAACTCAACTCAACTCAAAGGTAAAAGTAACAAAGAACCTTCCAAACAACAAGAAAAATCAAAAGACAAAAACAAAGAACAGGAAGAAAAGAAAATAAACAAACATCAAAAAGAACAAGACAATTTAAACAAAGAAAATAAAGAAAAGAAAATAAACAAGAATTTAAAGAGTAGTGAATCATGGTTCTGTCATGTAGTATGTAATGAAGACCGCCAGGCTGATATGAGATTATGTATTGCATGTTGCCAATATGTACATGAAGAGTGTGTGGGTCTTACTAAACATGATAAGGATTCATTCATATGCCCCAATTGTTCTCAAAAATAATAAATGTCTCACATTAGTTAGAAAATATATATATATATATATATATATATATATATATATATATATATATAATTATAAATATATATGTATCAGAAAATACCTGTTCTTTTTATTGCCAGTACTGCGGCTATATTAAGGGTATAGGTTCCAAATATTGCCAGTTGGCAATTGTTTAAAAAAAGAAGAATATACATTTTTTTGATTGTTTTATTTTTATAATTGTTTAGAAATAAGACTATAAACATGTTTGTTACTTGTTTAATAAATTTACAGGTTTCAAATTTTGTAACAATTTTCGATATTGTGAAATATAAATGTTCCTACTATACTCTTGTGAGTTTACTCGATCGGTTGTGCCTAATTTCTAATACGGTACTGGTTACAGAAACACGTTTGTTGGTTGCATACGGAACACAACTAATATGTCAACTTCAAATAAAATTTTTTTTTAAAATGTCAGTGTAGTCAAAATAATTTAGGTTCATGTTTTCATATTGAGATATAAAACAATAATTATAGTCTTATTTTCATTTTAATAGTTTTCGTGATAGTATTTAAACCTTCATAACAAATAAATGTTCTAAATATCACATTTGTTCAAGTAATACCAAATTAATGTGGAACTAAAGGAAATGCCTCTTAATATTTACCACACTTATTTGTTTAAACAAAACCATGTGATTTCTAGACTGCTCTTTAGACCTCATAAATATTTTACCATTCAAGCAATATAAAAATACATATTCATGTTCAGTAAACCAATAGCTTTATCCTAGCTTTAACAAGACCAAACAACAAAAATGCAAGCCAAGAGAAGGTATTTATTAGTTTTTGTAGTAGCCTTTTTAACTTTTTGGTACTTTGGTGGATATCGTTTACGACGCATTCAAGAAGGACATATAAATATAGATAATTTGCCTAACTATATTAGTATGAATGTTATAGATACAGGATACTTGGTTAGGGGAAGAGAAAGATTTTCTGATGGTGCTAAAAACTGTAGAATGGAAACATGCTTTGATCTTAGTAAATGTCAGAAAGATTTCAAGGTATATGTGTATCCTCAGGAGGACAGTAGTGTGCCTAGTCCGTCCTATCTAAAACTGCTCAATGTCCTACTAGAATCTAGATATTATACCACTGTTCCCAGAGAAGCTTGCATTTTTGTACTGAGCATTGATACCTTAGACCGTGATCGCTTGAGCAATGATTATGTTCGCAACATGCAGAATAGATTACTAAGGTTACCTCATTGGAATGGTGGTCTCAATCATGTTATCTTCAATTTATATTCTGGGACTTGGCCAAACTATACTGAAAATGATCTAGATTTTGACTATGGGAAGGCTATTCTTGCTAAAGCTAGTATGTCTGAAAATCATGTACGGGTAGGATTTGATATAAGTATTCCTCTATTTCATAAGATTCACCCTGCCAAAGGTGGAGAACCTGGAGCTACTTCTGCCAATAACTATCCTCTAGAGAAAACTTATCTTCTTGCATTTAAAGGGAAAAGATATGTACATGGTATCGGCTCAGATACTAGAAATTCATTATATCATTTACACAATAAAAGAGACATAATCATGGTCACCACATGTAGACATGGGAAAAGTTGGAAGGATATGAAGGATGAGAGATGTGACGAAGATAACAAGGAATATGACAAGTAAGTCTTAATTAAATCTTTTCAAGCTAGGTATTGATTTTATTTATTTACTATCACATCACACATCACATACTATCAAGTCACAATTATATATGATTATATAATAGGTGTTTTATTGATAAGTAGAATACAAATTTAAATGTTATATGTTTATGGTTAGTGTAACAACAAACTATGAAAAAATAAACAGAATTAGTTTTTTAACATCTTCAGCACCTTCTGGTAGATCAACAAATGCTAGTTACAAAACCTTTATGACTCTTGTCTCCCAGTAGTTTTATTTATTTATATATGGCATCCATTTACTTACAAATTTTACAAAGTCACATATTAAAAACAATAAATTATTAAAATAACAATCACAAGTTTTACAAAGTTACATCTTATCAACAATAAATTATGAAAATAACAAACACCTCAGAATAATACAAACATATAAGAATAATACAGATGGACAACAAACTTATTGTAAGATACTTTTTAGTTGTTTTTTAACCAAACTAATTTTGGAGTCAAAAATATCTATTTGTCTTGGCAGGCTATTAGCACTACGGACCAATCGTGTAGTTGGCTCATTGATACCATAATTAGTGTGGTGAAATGGCACTGAAAAGATTTCTGATTGTCTGTTGCTTGTACTAGGAACTTTAAGACTAACAAGCTATAAAAATTGAGGACAATCTATAAAAACATTGATAACTTTGTGTAAGAAACATAAATCTAACAATGTCCTCCTTGACTCAAGTGTTGGTAAGTTAAGACTATCTCTTACCCACTGATAGTAGTATTCCTCTCTCCTGTATCCACTCTTATAGGCAACTACCCTCAAAAATTTATTCTGGACTCTTTCAATCTGTTGAATGTAACAGTGGTATGATAGGGAACATACAACTGATCCAAACTCCAGAATGGGCCTAACGAGAACACAATAAAGTCTTCTAAATGTAAACAAAGACAATTCCACAGATGTGCATTGGATAAATCCCAGCACTTGCATTGCTTGGTTTGTTACTTGGTTAATGTGGCTTGAGAATGACAGTTTGTTGTCTAACCAGATTCCCAAATCTAATACTTCAGTTTTTCGAGGCTAATGGCAAGTTATTTATGTAGTAAACAAATGTAATTGGATTTCTTTGCCTTGAGGATGTCATTTTATGACATTTGTTTAACAATTTAAGATCTTTCTGTAATGTATAGATAGTTCAAGCACTCTTGACCATGGAGCTGCTCGAAGGCGGAGTCAAATTCAGGTAAAGGCAGGAAGGTTCTATTGTAAGTGGAATTATACAGTGCATAGTACAATTTGTTTCTCACGGAAGTGGGGACTAAGCCAAATTTTGTCTACTGTGCCATGGTCAAGAGTGCTTGCATGCACTATAACAACATCATTCCAGGATTGAATTTTTCTAAACAGTTTTACATCGTCAGCAAACATAAGAACACCACAATTTTTGATTTGTTGTACTAAATCAACCAGAAACAAGCAAAACAAAACAGGGCCACAATAGGAGCCTTGTGGCACGCCTGATGGAAGTGTTACTGAAAAGGAAATTGTATACTTTCAATAGTATACTATTGAAAAGGAAATTGCTGACCATATTATTACCATGGAAGTTTGTTTGTTTAGCCTGACCAGTAAAGATTTATGAAAACTTGTATACGAAGTAGCGAAACAATATTAGCCACAGTTTTAATAAGGAAACCAAGATGGCAGGCTGGAAATGGGTTAGAGGCTTTTTAAAGTGAAATCCTCGAATTTCATTATGAACTCCAGAAAATACTTTTTTGGCAAGAGCTCAAGCTTTTAATAAACCAAATATATGTGCCTATTTTACAACATTAGCACATTATTAGACGAGTTTCAATTTCCACCGGAAAACATTTATAACATGGACGAGTCCAGTTTGAGAACTGTGCAAAAGAGATCGCAGAAGATTTATGCTAGTAAAGGTCGCAAACAAGTTCGTGCTCTAAGTAGTGCAGAGCACGGTCTACTTGTTACGGTAGTATGTGCAATAAATGAAATTAGAACATATGTTCCTCCTGCTTTGATTTTTCCTCGACAGAGAAAGAAAGGCGAACTTATGATCGATGCACCTACTGGAAGTGTAGCCTTTGCTCAAAAAAAAGGATGGATGACTTCCGACATTTTCTGTCTCTGGTTGCAACCTTTTTTCAGGTATTCAAAGGCTTCTAAAACCAACAAGTTTTGTTGTTACTCGATGGTCATGGTAATCATAAAAGTTTTGAAACTCTACAGTTTGCAAAAGAACACGGTATTATTATGTTTTGATTTCCTGCTCATGGTTCTCATCACGTTCAACCCTTGGACGTAGGATTTTTTAGACCACTTCAAACTTACTATGGCCAAAAAATTCAATTATGGCTGTGACAGAATCCAAGTAAAACAGTTACCCAATTTAAAGTAGCCAGTATCTTTAATAGAGCATATTTAAAAAGTGCTCTTCCATCAAATGCAATAAATGCATTTAAAAAAACAGGAATAGAACCGTTCAATCCAGATGTATTCGAGGATTGGCAATTTTTGCCGTCTATAACAACAGATAGAGAAAATTATGAACAAAACCCACTACCAGGATGTTCTGACGAGAACTCACTACCGGAACATCGGAACCAAAATGTTTCTTCTCGGTCCCGGTCGAAGATATTTTTCCTCCTCCTTTAGCTGGAGTATCTGACGTAACTCAGAAAAGGGGTAGAAAACGGGGTAAAACAGGATATTTAAATTCAACGCTAGAAATTGATGGTATAAAACAAAAAATTGCAGGAAAAGAAGTAAAAAAAAGAAAACAAGACGCAAGAAAAGTGAAAAGGCAAGTTCGTGTTTCAACTACAAACAGTTCTGAAGACGATTGTGAATCTTCTTTTGAAGAAGACTACTCGAACGATGCAGCTTGTATTTACTGTAACGAACTATTTTCGCATTCACGATTCAAAGAAAAATGGATTCGTTATCAAGTGTGTAAGAGTTGGTGTCACAATAAATGTGCAGATGTAAACCCTGGATGTAAACAATTTGTGTGTGAATTGTGCATGTAACTTTTTTCTTAAAAATACCTAATGAGCGCATATATGCCCACGATGGACCCTTAACAGGATTTTAGTAAACTATGAATAACTGTTGTCACCTTAATTTTTATCAAAATTTGAAACATTTGCATATTATACAAATAACAAGACGTTATGTGTTCATATTTAAAGCCTGCTAAGTAAATAATTAAAATTATTATGGAGCTTTTTCCTTAAGGGGTCCATCATAGGCACATTTCCCCGACTAATAATTTATTTTATAATTTAATTGGGATTTGTCAAATGTAAGTCAATAATTTAAAAACAAAAGATATATTTGTCTATTTTTCTAAAAAATATATGTTTCTTTTTTTTAAATAAATGAAAACTTTGTAGGTACGATTATGAAACATTACTACAAAATTCCACATTTTGCTTAGTTCCTCGAGGTAGAAGGTTGGGTTCTTTCCGATTTTTGGAAGCTCTTCAAGCAGGTTGCATTCCTGTTCTACTCTCAAACAGTTGGGCATTGCCTTTCTCTCAAGTTGTGGACTGGAATAAAGCTGTGGTTTGGGCAGATGAAAGGCTTCTATTGCAGGTATTTATAAGTTTAAACTTAAAATTTTTCCGGCAGCATGATAAATTAATTCATTAAATCATTCATTAACCAAAATAAACAATATTGATTATAAAAATGATGATTATCACTGTGTATACTGTAGATTCTGAACCTGTTCTCTTGTGGTATGTCTAAGTTACGAATTATCAATGGGATTAAGCCACAATTGACTGTAATGGAAATTACATTTTGTAATTTTTATTTGACTTTTATTTTCCACTCCGGAAATCGTTTTCAAAATAGATTATTTTAAATTAGTCATGGATTTTATAAGGAGAGCTGGTGGTGTATCCAAAAAAGATAATATCAGGAATGAAGATATTAGAAGGAGGACAAATACTATATATTCCAGTGTAAACATAATTGAAACAGATAACTAGTGTGATGATAACTAGTGTGATATGGTCACGTGAAGCGAATGAATGAAGATAGATGGCCAAAGAAAGCTTTAAATCACATACCATAACAAAGAAGAAGAAGAGGAAGGCCTTCAGTTGTCTGAGAAGAAAATGTACGGCACATAATAAGAGATAGAGCCATCAAAGAAGACGAATGGATGGATAGAAAACGATGGCGGTCGAAATGCGAGAAGCGGCAGAGGCTGTAGGAACCTCGCTTATATATATATATATATATATATACATATTAGTTGTTTTGACTGTTGTGATGAGGTACTTATTTCTTATCATTTTTAATTTTTCTGATAAGCCCTTTACATATGGTATTGTTGTCATCTTTATATCCCTTCTTGTGAGCATTTCTGGATTGCTTATGGTGTTTTGTTATTTCCTCTCTTTAATCCTATGAAATTCCTTGTTTATAAATGATAAAGAGTAATATTTTTTTGTTAAAACCTTTATTAACACGTTTTTTTTCTTCTTGAAATGCATTTTCATTAGAGCAGGTGTTTTAGGCTCAATCATATAATGATTTGATAATTCCTTTTTGATGTGTATGTTGTAATTTGAGTGGTGATTTCAATATCTGTTGGTGTGTGTTGGTTTTCTCTATCTTTTGGTGATTAACATATCGAAAAGGAACTGAGATGTTCTTTTCTTGTTTCATGTTGTATTTCATTGATTCTTCTTTACTGTTGATGTCCATCAGGAATTTATTCAATGTTTCTGGTTCATGATCCATTATCTACATATCTCCACCATACTGTGGGCTGTTGGTCATGTTGATGCACAACGTTTTGTTCGAATTCTGCCGTAAAAATATATGCCAATAGTATAGCTAAGGATGAGCCCATGGCTAATCCAAAAGTTTGTTTGTAAAAATCATTATCATTTATTGAAAATAACTGTTGTCTGTACAAAGTGCTAGTAACTTCATTATAGCTGATACATTCAGTTTGGTTTTTGTTGTCAGTGTGTAGCCCCCCTCTAATTTGACTCTTATTATTTTAAAGAGTTTCTCCAATGACACATTGGTGAAAAGGCTGGTGGTATCGAAAGTGACTAGCATATTATTGGGATTATAATCTATTTCTGCTAGTTTTTGCAAGAAATATTGTGAGCTTTTTATAAATACTGTTGTATTGTGTGCTAAAGGCTGTATTATGTCTAGGAGAAACTTTGACAGTTTGTTGCTAGGAGAACCTATGCAGCTACAAATTGGTCTGAGGGGTACATTTTCTTTGTGTTTTTTCTCAATATAGGTGTGGTGTCCTACTGTAGTCGGGTGTTAGTGTCATTTGGTAGTCTGTCAGGTATTCCTTAAATTTGTGTAGAATTTTATATATTCTGTTTTCCAGTGATTTTGTTGGATCCTTTTTTAGTTATCTGTAAGGTCCATTTGTGACCAATTCTTGGATTTTCTCCTGATATTGTCTTTGTCCATAATAACATTTACTTTGTCCTTGACAGCTGGTATTATTATTATGAGCTTTGTCTTGCTTTTGTGCATTTCTCCAGTTGAGCGGTGTCTTTACTCCAGCAATGTCAAATTCTGACTGTTTTGTGTATTTTGCGTTATATGTTTGTGTAAAAACTGTATCGTAATTGGATGGTGTTATGCCAAAAGGAGTTAAACCACACAACATCAAAAATTGAGTTATTCTAATCAGATGGTAGATTATATTGTTATTTAAATTATGCAAAAATGATTTAAGTCACATAAGTATTTAAAAGATTGCAAGAAAAGATTGCGCTTAAAAGTTTTTGCAAGAAATATTGTGAGCTTTTTATAAATGCTGTTGTATTGTGTGCTAAAGGCTGTATTATATTTAGGAGAAACTTTGACAGTTTGTTACTAGGAGAACCTATGCAGCTACAAATTGGTCTGAGGGGTACATTTTCTTTGTGTTTTTTCTCAATATAGGTGTGGTGTCCTACTGTAGTCGGGTGTTAGTGTCCTTTGGTAGTCTGTCAGGTATTCCTTAAATTTGTGTAGTGTTTTATATATTCTGTTTTCCAGTGATTTTGTTAGATCCTTTTTTAGTTTTCTGTAAGGTCCATTTGTGACCAATTCTTGGATTTTCTCCTGATATTGTCTTTGTCCATAATAACATTTACTTTGTCCTTGACAGCTGGTATTATTATGAGCTTTGTCTTGCTTTTGCTTTTGTGCATTTCTCCAGTTCCTTTTTGCACCGTACTCTATATTCTTCGTGTATTGGTAATTCTCGACCACTCCAGAAATAGTTTTCGAAGATTATTATACAAATTCTGGAAAAACGTTTAACCAAAGTTATTTGTTATTGGTTATGTCATTTCAAAATTGACATGCTTCACCTCGATCTTGTAGGCAAACAGCATGTAAATGGCTGAAAAATCTAAGGGCGGTGTCTTTACTCCAGCAATGTCAAATTCTGACTGTTTTGTGTATTTTGCGTTATATGTTTGTGTAAAAACTGTATCGTAATTGGATGGTGTTATGCTAAAAGGAGTTAAACCACAAAACATCAAAAATTGAGTTATTCTAATCAGATGGTGGATTATATTGTTATTTTAATTATGCAAAAATGATTTAAGTCACATAAGTATTTAAAAGATTGATACAATGAAATTTTAACTTATAATCTGTGAATATTCAATCTGCAACTACGCAAAAAACGTTTAACCATCAATTCAAGCTAAAAATCACTCAACGCACAGTCAGCTATTTCAAGTTTATTTTGCAATAAATATTTAACATTCTGTTTCATGAACCCACATTGGACTTCATAACAGATAAAAATTAGATTGGACAATCTTCGTTATCTTCCATTATTTGGTTAATAAGGCGTATGAGGATCAAAAAGTGGCGGATTAAATAAACTTCCCGATGAAAGAATCACGATCATCAATCATATTAAGCTGTTCGTAGGTATATGTCGCATTACTGTAGCCTTGATACAGAATCGCATTATCTTGACGCTAATCGGAACTTATACAAAATGTACAATTTGTATGTATAGAAGACGGTGACAACCAAGTTAGCTTTTCCACGTACAAACAATCTGAATTCAATCTTCGTTTCCAAAGGACACCTGTATGAAGTTCGACACATTCCAATCACAAAAAATAAAGGCCTGATAAGTGTAGCGGCAGATAATCTGAAAGTAAAACATTCCAAACACATTAAAAAAGCAGAAGGTTTAATGGAAAAACGAGAAAAAATCTCAAATCTGCAAAAGAGAATCCTGAATTAGAAACTTTAAATTTGATCTTCAAACGACCCATACTCTTAGAAGACTGTGATAACATATTACAAACTTCAGTTAAATTTGTACAACCTTGGCGTCCATGTTAGGGGACATACCTTTCTGTCCAATGACTTAGAATATGGGCATGTTGAGCCATCTTTAAAGATCCAACAGCGCTTATTCATCGGATATAGACTACATTAATGTTATGAACGAATGTAGGAGAAAAAAACATCAAAATAGAACGAGGAGAAATTGTTTCAATTGACAAACTATTGGAATGTATCACAAACAGCAAAAGTGACTTAGAGAAAGATAAAGGGAATTGGCTCAAGGCTCATGCATAAAAGTTTTAAAGAGTGAGACTTTCTTGCTCTACATGAAACCAGACACAACAGAAGAAAGCGTACAGAGAGTAGATGTAAAAAAAATATACAAAAGATCAACTCCAGAAATCGTTTAAAGATATGGAGTTGGATCAGCAGTTATGGCAAACAGGTAAACCACTATTCAAAGAAAAAATTAAAGATCTCAAAGAAATATTAAACTTAGTACCACTAGATCTAAAACCATTTTATAATTTCTTAAGAACAGCTGAACAGGGTGACTTTTTTGGCGATATTGATGGTTTTGAAGTAGAAAATGTGGACTTCGACGTTGATGAAGAGGATTAAAATTATTTGACACTTTTAAATAATAGTAAAACATTTAATTACCTATTAGTATATTTGAAAAATAAGCTGCAGTAAATTCTCAGAAAAAAAAACTAAATTGTTAAGCATAACGTGTGCTTTTCGGTACAACGTCAATATTTTAGCTTATTTTACGTTGGGTTTGACTATTTAGATAGAAATTTTTCCACGTCACATGGACTATCGTAAAATGTAGTTACCTGCTATTGTTAGAACAGTAGGCTAGGGATTATTCAGCTGATCATAGACGTACTTTAAGGGAATTACATTATTTGTTTCGGTTTATTAGATATTTAAACCATTTTCAAAGCATATTATATTTATATAAATCTGTTTATTTTCGTAACCTTATTTATGGTTATTTTTGTCGTTATGATAATGATCCATTAAATAACAAGAAATAAAGAAACTCTTAAAATAAATAGGTATTTAGTTAATGGTCTTTTGATAGTTTAGATTGACAAAGTCGATTAGCGAAAGATGTTTTCCGAATAATATGAACGCTATTTTAAATAGTATAAATTTCGATTTTGTTTGGAAAACCAATGATTAATAAAATCGTTAATTGTCCTTAAATAGTCATTCATTAATATCAGAATATTTTTGTTCAGTCGATTATAAGCGAGTGAACAGATCTGACAGTTGTTTTTTGCAAGAGT